AGAAGATACAAAAAATGTCTTCCTCCTAAAATAAAATTAATGAACAAAAACGAATATATGAAGTGTAGAAAAGTTAAAGCTGTTCTAAGGTATCACACGCCAAACAAAACAAAAGAACCCGAGTTATATTTCTACCATTTGCTTATGTTGTATTTTCCATGGCGAGAAGAAACACAACTTCTAAGTTCTGATCAAACATACACATCTAAGTTTTATGAACCTGACGTCCAAGCTGTCGTTGAACAAAATAGGGCAGTATTTGAACCTGATGCTGATGCAATAACTGAGGCACTAGAAGCAATGAGAAATAATGAAGGAAATATTGTTCACTCATACGATTCCATAAATGATCAAGAAAATTCAGATCTCAGAGATGAAACACCAATTGTTTCAGATGTTAACGAGTCCTTCAATCAACAACAACCTTCACATCTTGATTCTACACAGTCAAATCAGCAATCATCTGGGACAGTTACTTATCATAACCAACCATCTGAAATTTCTGATGATGAACTACGGCAGTCTGTTAGATCCTTAAACCCAGAACAACGCTGTGCATATGATATTGTTCTCTCTTGGTGCAGAAAATTGATAAAAAACTTGAATAGCTTAAAACCTGTTGACGTTAAACCAATCTATCTATTTTAACCGGAGGTGGTGGTGCAGGCAAAAGCCACTTGATTAAAACAATATATCATACAGCAGTAAAGACCTTTCGACATCCTCCTTTTAACCCTGAGTTACCAACTGTTCTATTATTGGCACCAACAGGTGTGGCAGCGATAAATATTGATGGAACAACAGTTAAAACAGGGCTTGCCATTCCAAAAGAAACTGGTGATTACCTTCGTGGAATGTCTGACCAGAAGAAAACACAGTACAGAATCTCTTTAAAAGACCTAAAACTTATAATTATAGACGAAATCTCTATGGTTGGAAATATAACACTACTGCATACCCACCAACGATTGAAAGAAATTTTTGGTGTGTCATCAACTGATTTATTTGCAGGCATTAGTATTATAGCTGTGGGTGATCTCTACCAGCTTCCTCCGATTAAAAAGAAAGCAATTTTTGATGATTACAAAATAGAAACTAACAATCTTTGTCATCCATGGAGAGTCTTTAAAATGGTTGAACTTACCGAAATCATGAGACAAAAAATGATAAGGCATTTACTGAACTTCTTAATAGAATTAGAACAGCTTCGCATACAGAGGATGATATTAAAGTTCTTCAGTCAAGACGTATCACATGACCTTCTGATCCTAATTATCCCTCCGATGCCCTTCACATTTGGGCTGAAAATGCACCTGTGAATGAACATAATCAAACGAAACTAGAAACAATTCAAGCACCACTATTTCTTCTTAAAGCAAAAGATCAGTATCCAAAAAATGTCAATAAACAAGACATTGATAGAGTTTTAGCAAGAGGGCGTTCTGAAACAGGTGGACTTGATTTTGAAATTCAGATAAAAAAAGGTGCCAGAATAATGCTCACTACAAATATCAATATCCAAGATCGACTTATCAATGGCCAAATGGGGACTGTAGTTAAAATTCAGGTGAACGAAAGTAATAAACCAACTATCTTACATATAAAATTTGATGATGAAAATGCTGGGAAAACATTGATTAACAGTAGTGTCAACTCTTTTGCCAGAGAAAATCATCTTGTATCTATTGAACCTGTTTTAGCAAAAATCGAAGATATGCCAGGTAAACCTTCTTCCCCGGAATTTCAGAGAATACAGTTTCCGATTGCACTTTCATGGGCATGTACTGTTCATAAAGTTCAAGGACTTACTCTTGAAAACGTCGTTGTTAGCTTAGAGTTGAATAAACAAAGATCTTTCAACTATGGGCAAATCAATGTAGCCTTAAGCCGTGCTACGTCTTTACAAGGTTTACACATACTTGGAGAAATACAAAGTAAACATATAAAGGCAAATCCCAAAGTTCATGAAGAATATGAGAGACTTCGAAATTCCTGCTTAAGAGCCTCGACTGAACATGCACGAATCATGCAACACATCAGTTCTAACCATATCACTTTTGAATATTAGATCTCTTAGAAAGCATAGTAATGATATCACGTTACATTCACAGTTGTTGAATTCTGATGTCCTTGCATTTACTGAAACACAGCTTCTGGCTAATGACTCGGACACTGAAATTACGGAGAATTTGAAACCTTTCACAATATATCGTCAAGATCATGATTCAGACAAGTACTCCAGCATGGCCATCTGTATTAGAGACACTTTACAAATGGTTGACTATGAATATTTCCCATCCCTTAATGCTCTTAAATTTGTTCTTGTTGACAGTAAACTACAAGAATCCCGGTCCTTCCTTTTACTGTATAGAAAGAACAACTCTAACGTATCACAATATATAGAAGCATTGCAATATCTCCTTAATATCCACAGAATTGACATGGTTCTTGGTGACTTCAATATTAATTTTTTTAATGGCACTCATTCTCAATCACTAATATCGTTAATGGAATCTCTAAACTATATATACACAAATTGTGTCTGAGCCTACGTTTGTTTCTGCCGGTAGTTTATTGGTCACCTCACTACAGTTTTCGAGGTTTAGTTGTCGCCTCACTACAGTTTTCAAATAACGTTCAGTTTTAATTGCTAAGCGACAGAAACAGTACTTTTGCAATCATTTTTATTATTTGAATCAGTGATTTATAGAATTTTATACTATAATACTCGGGTTAATTGTATATATATGAATGCCTACCTTGTCTCAGTGACACAAATCAGATCTGAATGTCAGAATATAACCAATGAAAGAAAACATGCTCTGCCGGAGATCATTCTGGAGATCCTCCCCCCATGAAAGGCATCTCTAGTGCATGCTTCCCTTCTCAGATGACCTGCTGGATGCTCATACAAATTGTATTAAGGTTACTCCACATGATGGAAACCCATTTCACCAAAATGCTCACCGCGCGCTCAATTTTCAAGTTTTCCCCTTCAAATTTTGCATGCATAATGATAAATCATTGCTGTAGCTAACGATTTGCCAAAAATTCTAAATCTTTAAAAACTGTACTTGCTACGGGTTGCTTTTGAAAATATAACGGCCTTTGCGCCACGAGATTAGAACGCTTCTGATTTGCCTCAAAGGCTTCCGAAATATAATATTTCCCATCTCAAATGATCAAAGAACAAAACCGTGTTCGCGTTTTTTGACAGCTATTATATTTGCTTTGATATAAAGCAGAGAAGTTGACTCATCTAAATTTTGGGAGAACGGCAGAATAAATGCCTATAACTTGAAAAGTATGGCACTAAATAAAAAACGCGAACACGGTTTTGCTCCTGTAGGCTACTATTGTTCAACATTGTGGCAAAGTTTGGAGAGAATCGGATAAAACGTGCGTGTTTCTAAACTATTTTTGTGGGGACAATCTGAGAATATTTCAATCTCCGTAAAAGACGATATTAGATTTGGCGGGGTTTTTCCGCTCTCTGTTATCACCACGAACTGTAATCGGATTAAAATGATTAAAGTGTGTTTTGGCAAGGGTTTTCGGTGTCATTCACTCATTATCAGTTTATCACAAACCGTACATGTGAGAAACCACGCGAAAAAACTTGCTAATATGCCGGCGAAACGCAAATGTAAAAAGGGGATAGCTATACAGACCGATCTAAATCGGCCAAACGAAAATGCAGTTGAAGATCAATGCAAATGCCATTTCCGGGATTCAAATTTAAAAATTTTCCTTGCCTTCGGCACGAGCCTCCCCAATATTTCATAAAATGTCCGCCACTTGCACACACACTGGGATTTCTAATAAAAATCCAACTGGGACTGGGATTTTGCCAAAATTTCAGGTGGAAAATGGGATTGGGATCCCCCTAGCCAGCGTGGCCGGCTCTATTGAAGGAGAGCCTGCCCGAAAGCCCTAGTCAAATTGATGACTCTCGGCAGCCAGCCGCCGAGAATTGTGATTGGCTGAATTTACGTTGACGGCAGTTTGATTGACATGTTACGCTAATTTATTCAAATATTTAAAAATAAATACAGTAAAAACAAACGGCATCGCTATATTAAAGTGTAAACGTTTACCTGTCGGCGAAAATATAAAATTCAAAAGACAAAGTGTAAAATGTATAACATATACCGGTATCTAAACAGAATACGGCAAGCCATACTGCTATTACTGCATATGTCGTATGATTTTACCGTATGGTCACTATAGTATATAGAGTATAAACCTTGGCTGTCCTCAACCTCGTACCCAGGGCCTTTGCGCGGTTCAGAGGCTCTGGTACGGGAAGCAAAGGCCCTGGTAAACACTGGTCATGTGACTCCAAAAATATTGGACATTTCGTAATAATTTAGTTTTCAATCCGGGGGGAGCCGATTTATTTTATCAAACATGGCAGCGCGAAGGCGCGACGTTTTCGAGTTTTTACTGTTATTATGATCAATAAAACTTTCCTAGTGAGATTTAAGAGTGGGTATATATTATCTATGCATTCTACGAGCTTTCTTTCAACAAATTGTGGAATAGCTAACGGTAATACTTATCAAAGATCGAAGATCAAACTGAGAGAAAACTAGTCGAGTGATCTGTCTTTAAACTGTCTATTTTGTATCCAATGCAGCTGCTTGTGTGCGACGTTTTATAAAGAATTAAACAAACATTGTTGATTATAAGTAATTTTTATGTATTGACCAAAAAATATCACTTGGGATTTTATTGTACTTTTATGGAAGGATAAATCAGAGGGGACATCTATGGAAACGAAATTCTTCATGTAGTTATCAAAGCAGAATATTTTGAAACAATTAACTGGTCGAGTGACAGGTTGAGTGACAGATAACATGACCTAAAATACAGTTGTGAATGAAATTATACACAGTATCTTGAAACCTTTGTGTGTGTGAGTTAATTTCATATTTATTTTTTGGGATGTATCATCTATATTTCTGTTTGTCTGGGAGGGGGGGGGGGTACCAATCCTGAATCATGAGAAATAATATACAGTGATCTTGAAACAACAAATTTACTATGAATCTTATATCAGTGATATGTGACTTAGGAGTCTTAAAGGCAAATAACAGTCTGTATACTGGGTGTGCGTTCACCTATTTGTTTACATTTGCAGTTACTGTATATCGGTTCATGATTTATGAAATTTGAACCAAAGCTGTAACATAATATTAGTCACGGCACAAGTCACTATGCAGAGTTTTATTTGTATTGAGGAGGTAGGGCTTCTAAGCGAGACACAGAGGCTTAACGAATATGGTTACAATGAATTTTATCAGTAAGTAAATTTCATTTTTTACATCCTGAAACCAAAAATCACCATATTATGCATGAATTACATATCACTTGTCACAGAGTGAACATACCAAATTCAAACAACATTCACACTGTTTCTAGATGAAATAATCAACCGATATTTTGGGCAAACAATATAATTCATGAGGGGAAAAAATAAATATTTATATGTGTGCACATAGTTTCAAGATCAGCTAACGGAATTGAAACCAGCTTTCCCAGTTATGCTTGGAGCTGATGAGAACAGTTAGTTTTGAACACAAAATGGCATGGGACTTAATTCATATAGGTGGCAATATATTGCCTTCTCACCAGCACAATTGATCAAGTCATACACATTCATTACTGCCAATCTCTATTATTTATGTCTCATTACAAATACAATATATTTTTGATCATTATCAGCAGTATCATTACAACTTGTGCATCACCAATATCATCACAACTTGTATTTCACTACCATCATCATCATTCTCACCATTCTAATTTTATTAGTCAATCAGAATGAATAAAAAATTTCCTATTTTACACCACTCGTATATTACTTATAAATTGCCCAAGGTCATGGCCATTTCACATCACTCCAGGATCTGAATACCCAACCTCGCAAGCCAGGATCTTTTACTTCCGCACGGCGCTACAGCAAAGACCCTGGTTCCCTCTGGTCACGTGAGCTCCTAAAAATCAGGGCAGCAAGAGGTCCTAGGGGAGGGTGGTTGAAATGTGATATGTTGTAATTTACAACTTCCGGTTAAATGTTGTGTTTTCAAGGCCCACCGAGTCGAGGAGTGACTGTAAAGCTATGAGAAGTGACTTCAACTGTAATACTAAAAAACATTCAAAA